GGCAGCAGGGAACATAGCACATATATGTGTGACTGGGGGAGGGTGGAGTGATGGGGGACACAGAGCCAGTTTAGCTAATCCTAAACAATATAGAAGAGAGAAGTAAGATTGACTAGATATATGGAGGCTGGATTTTATAGGGCCTGTTAGGTCTTTATCTCTAAGGGCAGTGTCAAACCACGGAAGTAATTTAAATAGAAGAGTGGTACAATCTGGTTTGCAGTTTGGAAAGAATATTCTTTCTGTTTTGTGCATAATGGATTGAAAAGAGGCTACATAAAATTTAGGAAGCCACTACAGTAGTCCACACACAAGATAATGCTAGCTTGCTTAGTGTAGTGACAGTGATGATGGAGAAAAGTTAACCAATGGGAGTAGTAGTAGAAGAAATAGTTAAAATCTGAATGTATAAATCATTGGTACATTTAATAAATATATTTTAAAACCTTTTACTTTATTCTATATTTGTTTACTTTTTAATATATTATATTAGTTGTGTAGTTCTTGATAGTCATTGCCTACTTCTATCCTATTTACCATCGATGACTGACGTCCTTCTTGCTTTACTGTTGAGAGCCTGTTGAGTAATTGCTTAGATGTTTAATAACAAAATATTGATACATAAAAGAATATATAAAACATCTTTAAGGTATAAATAAAAAACCAAATACCTGTGATGTATCATCTCATATAGTTATAGAGTTTTAGCTGTTAGAAGTAATTCTGGAGAAATCCCAGGCAGACAGGCAGGTGAGCAATTAGGAGCCAGAGGTCCTCTTAGAGATTTTCTGACTAGCATCCATCAGTTGAAAGGAGAGGAAGGGTAATGACTGTATTAAGAGTGGCAATAATCAAACACCTAATGACCCTGCAAATGAAGAGAATTATGCCTAATGTAAAAACAAAGAATGCTTAATGTAAAGAGCTATGTAGATATATGATAATAATACTCTTGTTATTAGAGCTTCACATTGTAAATTAGTTCCTATATAAACAGATCTGAGAAAAGGGTGGGAAGGAAGAAAAGTGAGGGACTAGTAGAAACAACCAGTCTCTAAAAAGAAGAAAATTATCTTGTTAGAACTACTGAAACTTTGGTGGAAGTTGGTGGAAGGATAGAAGGAAGTTTAATGGGTCAAAGGCACTGCTCCTTGAACTTTCTTTCTCATATACCTTTGAAAGCATGTACAATTACATGTTATTTATAGCATTCTTACATTCAGATCCCTGCCTGTGATTTTTGGGAAATAAGTGTGCTTTATTGGTCTACTGTTTGAATTTCCATAAATGAGATTTTTTTTGCCATGTACCTGATTTTAGAAAATTATAATTCAAAACTGTCTTTAAAATGTGTAAAATTTATACTTGAAAAATCGTTTGTTTAGATGCTTTTTATTTTTCAATGGTTTTGTAGTAAAACATTATTTGACTTTTCTTTGTATGGAATGTGGGATCTTTCTACATTTATGAATATTTATCTAATGTAATTTTAATTTTTAATATTATTGTAAAATGTTCGTTAAATCCAATTTTGTATGATTTTAATACTTTCAGGCATTTCTAAAATCAAAATGCTGCCCTATCTGGTTTGGCTCAGTGGATAGAAAGTCAGCCTGTGGACTGAAGGGTCCTGGGTTCGATTCTTGTCAAGGGCACATGCCTGAGTTGTGGGCTTGATCCCCAATGGGGGGCATGCAGGAGGCATCCAATCAGTGATTCTGTCCAGTCATTGATGTTTCTGTCTCTCCCCTCTCTGAAATCAATAAAAATACTTTTAAAAAAGTCAAAGTGCTTTCCTATAAGATAGAACTTTTCTAGCTTTTTAAAAAATTGGCATATGATTGAAATATAATATCCTATTAGTTTCAGGTATACATCATAGTGATATGATATATATTCCTATATAATAAAGAGGTAATATGCAAATTAACCCTCACACCCTCACAAGATGGCAGCCTACGACCAGGCTGGCAGGGGGGTTAGTTAGGGATGACCAAATGACTGAACAAGCAAGCTCCTTGGGGCGACTAGGTTGGCAAGGGGGTTAGTGAGGGATGACCAAACGAATGAACAGCAGGCTGACAGGGGGGTAGTGAGGGGCAACTAGGCCAGTGGGGGGCACAGTTGGGAGTGACCAGGCCAGTGGTGGACAGTGAGGTGTGACCAAGCCGGCAGAGGGGAGCAGTTGGGGGTGATCAGGCTGTCAGGGGGCAATTAGGGGTGATCAGGCTGGCATGCAGAGGCAGTGAGGCGTGATCAGGCCAGCGGGGGAGGCAGTTAGGGGTGACCAGGCAGGCAGGCAGGTGAGCGATTAGGAGCCAGAGGTCTAGGATTGTGAGAGGGATGTCCAACTGCCAATTTAGGCCCTATCCCAGGGATCAGGCCTAAACTAGCAGTTGGACATCCCCCAAGGGGTCCCGGGTTGGAGAGTTTGCAGAGGGTGCAGGCTGGGCTGAGCACAAATTTCATGCACCGGGCCTCTAGAGAGTGTGTGTGTGTGTGTGTGTGTGTGTGTGTGTGTGTGTGTAACATTAGAAATAATCCCCATAGTAAGACTACTTACCATCTATCATTATACAAAGTTATGACAATATTATTGACTCTATTCTCTATGCTGTACATTACATCTTTATGACTTATTTATCTTATAACTGGAAGTTTATACCTCATAATTCCCTCCCCTAGTTTCACCTGCCCCCCAACCCATCCCCTCTGGTAACCAACAGTTCGTTTCTGATACCTATGAATCTGTTTCTGTTTTGTTTATTTGTTTTGTTTTTTAGATTCCACATATAATTGAAATCATATGATATTTATCTTTTTCTGTCTGACATATTTCACTTAGCATAATACCCTCTAAGTCTATTCATGTTGTTACCAATGGTAAGATTTCATTTTTTATGGCTGAATAGTATTCCATTATATATATATACCACATCTTGTTAGTCCATTCATCCATCAGTAGACACTTAGGTCACTTTCATATTGTGGCTATTATGAAGAATGCTGCAATAAATATATGGGCACATATAGCTCTTCAAATTAGTATTGTTGTTGCAGGCACACAGAACATCAGGGAAGTGTTATCATACAGTCTCCTGAGTCAGAGGGGAGAGCTATCTTTCCTCAGTTCGTCTCTTCTTCTATAAATGATGAGTGCGGTGCTCATATTGTGCAGGAGTTGTTTCAAGAACATGAGGGACACTTTACCTTGCTTAGGTGGCCCCCACAATCACCAGGTCTCAATCCAATTGAGCATTTGTGGGACAAAGTTAAAAGAGCCATCAGACAGCTGGTTCCACAACCATCAAATTTCACAGAACTGGACAGTGCTATTCATCAGGCATGGTGTTAGATTCCTCACATCACCTTTCAACATCTCGTGGAGTCACTGCCAAGAAGAATCGCTGCAGTATTGAAGGCAAAAAGTGGCCCAACGAAGTACTGATGTCAGGTGGTCATAATAATCTGGCCACTGTGTGTGTGTGTGTGTGTGTATCCCACGTTCAAAGTGTGTTAAATCGAGGTGTTTACCCATATCTTCAGAGAAAAATCACTTCTGTTGTGGTAAACAACCTGCTTCCCTATTTATAATGGTCTGGTCCTCTAGCAACTTCAGCGCGAAATTATAGTTAATTTGCCTACAGACGTCAGGTAGTCATAATAATCTGGCCACCCAGTGTATATATATATATATATCACATATTATTATTCATTCATCTATCATGGACACTTGGGTTGCTTCCCTATGTTGGCTATTGTAAATAATGCGGCAGTGAACATAGGGTTGCCTGTATCTCTTTGAATTTTGTTTTCTTTGGATGCACCCCTATGTTCACTGCAGCATTATTTACATTAGCCTTTTTATATTAAATTTAAATATTTACTTTCAAACCTCAACATGGTTCTCATTCTAAGATTGTTATTCTAACTTGTTTATAAATTTTTCTGGTAATGAAAAATGCACTTCCATTCTCTTTACCTAAACCCTTAAAATTTTTTAGCAATAATAGGTCTTCCTGAAAGGCAGATCAACATAAAGGAAAGAATAGGGTCTCTGTTCTTTACAAATGGTTGTTTGAAATCCAAAAGAATTCCTCTTAGACATTTCCTGACTGGCAGCCATTGGTGGAAAAGAGAGAGAAAAAGGATGGGGTTCATAAATACCATGTTAATAATGACAGTTTTGTCCCATTTCAATCCTAGGTTCATGAGTCTGTAATAGGCAAGTTATCATACCTTCTCTAGAACCCTTTCTCTTCTCTTGGGAGATGATAATGATGGTACCTACTTCATAGAAAGTTAGGTTTTTATAAGCACATAGCATAGTGATTGGCACATAGAATGTACTCAACAAATGTTAGTTCTCTTCCATTTTCATCTTTTTATTTAAATCATTATCCAAGGATCCCCTCCCCCCCCAATTGATTTTTAGAGAGAGTGAAAAGGAGGGAAGAGGAGGAGGAGAGAGAGAAACATTGATGCGAGAGAGACACATTGACTGGTTGTCACCTGCATTTGCCCCAAAGTTCATGCCCTTGCCTGGGAATTGAACCTGCAATCCTCCAGTCTGTGGTCCAATGCTCTAACCACTGAGCAGCCCTTCAGGTTCCATTTTCATCTTAATTTCCCTAACTTAATTCTGAAATATTGGTAAATTGGTTCTAAATCACTTTTAAGAAAAGTGCTGACCCCATAAGAATTATGCTTAAAATAGTGAATGTTTGTTGATAGTAACTCAAAGTAAATAAAACTGTTTTTAACTATCATCAAATAAATGAGCTGAATTTTCTTTCTTTGAACATGGGTATGGGTAACTCAGGTACTGTATGACAAGTTCTTTGACTCGTTGAATCTTTTTCATGTTAGGGTGAAAAGTGGACTAAGCAAACATTCTGCTTATTTTTAATACCTACTCTGCTGAGGTCATATTTGACCTTAAATATTTTCCCAAATTGATTTTAGTATACAGGTGTTAGCTCCAAGGCTTTGTTTGTACAGTTAACTACATCAAATTCAGCAAGTTAGTGTGGGTGTGGCAGGGATTTGAGAGATTAGGTGATTTCTAACTTCTGTTAATCAAAATATAACTATATTTTAGAGAATAAAAATAGTAACTATATCACTTGAGTTCATGAAGACTTAGCTGATTTTTAATAATTAATAAGTTTTTTCTGCCAATGAGCATTAAATTACTGCTGACTTTTTAGCGTCATAGTACCTTGTGGTAGTTTTTCTGCAGGGTTTAAAGGTGTATTCCAGTTTTGTTTTATTTTTCCTGTCCTGTCCAGAGGAAATAATCTTTACAAATGATACAGGGAGACTATTTCTAGAAGTCCATACATGCCATTAATATGTTATAAGGATCGGTCAGTCCCATTGTCTTCTTTTGTCAATCTTGATCGGAGCTTGCCGAGTAAGTCTATAAGCCTGCATGTGCCTGGCAACTGTTACCTAGTGACAGTTTCAGCTGCTGTAGCCATTGGCTGTGCTGTTGATTGGGGCAGGAGGACCGAGTCACCTTTCTGATGGTGAGTTCTTCTGCATCAGCTCAGGATGAGGAGGAGGAGCCGGGCTCCAGCTCAGGTGGAGGCAGTGATGCCGAGCGATTGTGAAGAATATCCTGACAGCATCCTGGAAGCTGCATCACAGTGAGTCGGACTTCTGAATCAAGCAGCTCATAACAGTGAATGTATGTGAGGAGCACTGCCTTATTCCTGTAACAAGAGAACTATTTTGTGACAAGTGAAGCTGGGAATGTGAAAGGAGGAATATCCTGTGGCTGTTTTAAAAGAAGAAGGACTTCCCTGCATGACTTGGTGATGCACGAGAAAATAACTTTCAGAAGAGTGCCGCTGCATTGTTCCTGAGGAAGTCTGTGTTTTTAACCTATGGCATTTCTTCAAAAGGTGTGACAACAAAGGCTGACAAGCGACTCTCCGAAATGCCTATACTTTAAAAAAGACTTTTGACAATGTTAACCTTGTATCAGGACGACCTTGGAAGCCTGTTGGGTGGATTCATTCCTGCATTATTCCTTTCATTATTTCAGACTCTAGGATTTAAACTCATCTTGATGTGTTAGAGGTATTTTGAAACAAAATCATTTTACAACCTACCCAATGGCCCCTATGCTAATTGAGTACTTGCTCAAAATAGAATGCAGAAATAGAAGAGACATTTAAAAAAACATATGGCTGCTACATAACTGCAAAAAATGCAAACCAGGTAAATTTCTACTTTCAGAAGATTTAGTTGAAGTTTCTTTATTGTGTTAATCATCTAATGAAAATAGAAAAGGCAGAGAAGTATAGATTATGCTGTCTACTAGAAATACCTAAGTAGTAAATAATGGCAGCATTTCTAGTCAGATAAGCTCAGAGTAGGTAGGAAAGTTTCCATTATTGTCTAAATTTCATGTAAATTCACAGATATATTTGAGACATTGGTGTGGTTGCAAGGTGAGCAATAACTTTGAGCTGTATATTTTATGGTCATACTTCATTTTAAGGAAGGTGGCATATCAGACAATGAAAGTTAATGATGCTGAAATTAATAGCAAAATGATGTATTTTTCTTTTGAAAAGGAAGAAGTATAAATTACATTGTTGATGGTAGCACCAGTAACTATAATATACTAAAACTGTTTTTTTTTTCTGAGCACTTAAAAAATGCATGCAGAATGAAAAGTTTGTCATATTTTGTCAGGTGTTAACCCATTACCTATTATCTCCCTACTGGAAATATGTATTGTTTTGTTTTGTTTTTCGCATGAAAGCTATATGGCAATCTGGAGTCTGTTACCTCTGTTCTACTCCTTTGTGCCCAAATACAGATGAGTCTTTTGGAATTAGCCTTTTCCAGAAAGGGGGTAGTGGTGGCAGTTCTTAGCTTCTTAAAGAAATGAGAGAGAAATGGATCATAAAGTTGACCCACCAGCATCAAACCCTCAACTGAGCTCCCAAACACTCTTTGTCACAATGAACTTTTTCTTAGCTTTCCAACCAAATCTGAGATCTTAATTATTTAAATTCTAAAATATGAATCCACTTCTTATGTTAGATGAAACAGGAAGCCTGAGACAATTTCAGACTTTTTCTTTTCTCATTCTTTCTAGTTGATCCTTAAGAAACAGCCTTTCTGAGGAGGACAAACAACCCACAGAAGCTTTTCTTCTCTTGGCAATTGCTTTTTTTCTTTTTGCAGCTTTAATTTTTTATTGTGCAAGGTAATAAATCCATTTTCCCTAGAAGTGCCTTGTGTCTACAAAAAGTTGTTTGAGACCACCAGAGGATGCTAATGGTGACCTTTCTCCACCTCCGCTGTAGCTTATTCTCCTCCCTCACCCCTTAAAACTGAGGTGTGTCATTGCTCACTGAGGCTGATGAAGAGACTTGAGTCCTTTCTGGGATGCTCAGCTGTGACAGAAGCACTGCCACCGTCTCCCGAAGCTGATTCTGAGACTCTCAGGTGCAGAGTTTAACAGATGCTGGCAGGGCACCGGCTTGCTGTAGCCCAGGCTGCAGGTTCCCTCAATTCCAAGCCATGAACGAATCCAGGTGGACTGAATGGAGGATCCTAAACCTGAGCAGTGGCCCTGTGAATGTGTCTGAGCGTCACTCCTGCCCACTCGGATTTGGCCACTACAGTGCAGTGGACATCTGCGTCTTTGAGACAGTTGTTATTGTCCTGCTGACATTTCTGATCATTGCTGGGAATTTAACAGTCATCTTTGTCTTTCACTGTGCTCCACTCTTACACCATTATACCACCAGCTACTTCATCCAGACGATGGCATATGCTGATCTTTTCGTTGGAGTTAGCTGCTTGGTTCCTACTCTCTCACTTCTCCACTACTCCACAGGTATCCACGAGTCACTGACTTGCCAGGTGTTTGGATATATTATCTCTGTTCTCAAAAGTGTTTCTATGGCATGTCTTGCTTGCATAAGTGTGGATCGTTATCTTGCAATCACCAAGCCTCTCTCCTACAATCAACTGGTCACCCCTTGTCGGCTGAGAATTTGCATTATTTTAATCTGGATCTACTCCTGCCTAATTTTCTTGCCTTCTTTCTTTGGCTGGGGGAAACCTGGTTACCACGGTGACATTTTTGAATGGTGTGCCACCTCTTGGCTCACCAGTGCCTATTTTACAGGCTTTATTGTTTGTTTACTTTATGCTCCTGCTGCCTTTGTTGTCTGCTTCACTTACTTCCACATTTTCAAAATTTGCCGGCAGCACACCAAAGAGATACATGACCGGAGGGCCCGGTTCCCGAGCAATGAGGTGGATGCCCCTGGAGAGACTGGACACAGCCCCGACCGTCGCTACGCCATGGTCCTGTTTCGGATAACCAGCGTATTTTACATGCTGTGGCTCCCCTATATTATTTACTTTCTTTTGGAAAGCTCCCGGGTCTTAGACAATCCAACGCTGTCCTTCCTAACAACCTGGCTTGCTATAAGTAATAGTTTTTGTAACTGTGTGATATACAGCCTTTCCAACAGTGTTTTCCGGCTAGGCCTCCGAAGGCTTTCCGAGACAATGTGCACGTCTTGTATGTGTCTGAAGGAGCAGGACACGCGAGACCCCAAACCCAGGAAACGGGCCAATTCCTGCTCCATTTGAAGAGAACTGCCCAGTAAATCAAGTGTAATGGATAGTGGTTTGTGTTCATAGTCTTGATTCATCTGGAAATTTGCCACTAGAGAAATATTTACTTGAATAGTAATATGAGATGAAGGGACTAAAGGTTTCATTTTTTTCTCTTTTTTTCATGGAGGAAAAAACTAAAGGAAAGGATGTATAGAGAGTAATCTCATGAGATAAATATAGCATGTGAGTATCAATATGCAGTAGTGGGAAAAATTAAGCACTGAGGATGACAAAAGTAAGTCAGATATTCCACAGGATGCGAGCCAAGCCCCTCGGTGTCTTTCTCTCTGATTGAACTCTGTCCTCTGTCTTTGTCTCTGATTCTTGTCTCTTTACTCTCATTGTCTTTGTGGAAATTACTTGCATCAATTTTCCTCTATAGAAAATTGCTACATATTATATATGTGGCAAAGTATAATCTTTGGCATCAAAGTGTACTTTTAAACACACTGATCTGAAATCCGTAAGTGGTCTCTCATGGATGTATAGTAAGCATTGTATGTTAGTACCTGCCACACAACCCTTTTTGCTTGTGTTTTTATAATCTCCACAGCACACATTTTCTGCCATGAGCAAAAAGAAACAGTGTTTTTCTTTTAACAGGGTAAAATGATGCTCCCCTCCCCTGTATTCCTGCTGTATTTCCCTTTA